GAAGACCAGTGGTTCTTAACCCCCAGCATCGCTCTGCATCTCTGGCTTCTGTGTGTTCTTTGTTGTATTATATTTCTTTCTTTTTGATATTTTTTGTTTTAAACTTTTATTTTGTTTTATTTTTATTGTTTTTATTCCCTTTAATACCTCGTTCCGTCTTCTGCTAGGGGCCCGCGGCTGCGCTGCCTCCACCCAGGGCCCCCCAGGAGGAAGCAGCAAAGAAGAAGAACAAGGGGAGAGAAAGCAGATATAAAGAGAATAAATAAATAAATAAATTTAAATAGAAAAACAAAAATATATTATATTCAGCTTGGATGCTGACGAAATATAAAAGAATAAATTAAACAAATGGATGTGAAAAAGAACACAGAAAAAACTTCATCAGGGGCAATGCTGCAACACAACAAAACAAGTAAACCATCAGAATCTAAATATATTTCTTCTGTGTTTAATAAACCCTCAATAAAAACAAATAAAGAAAGCAATATAACAACAAAAACAAAAAAAGAAAAAATATACACAGAAGAAGGAATATCATCATTTCAAAGAACTAAAAATATATGGCAAGAAAAACTCGATGGAGAAATGGCGAAGAGAGAACAACAAAAAATGCTGGTTAGTTTTTGCTTCTAGGGTTTAGGGTTTAGGGTTTAGGGTTTAGGGTTTGGGGGTTGTTGTCTTTGTTTTTATTTAGGTATTCTGTTTTTTTCTCCGTTCTTTCATCGACTTAGGCCCCTGAGTTTAAACAATTGCAGCTAGCCCCTCTTTATTTGGGTTTAGGGTTTAGGGTTTAGGGTTTAAGGGTTTAGGGTTTAGGGTTTAGGGTTTAAGGGTTTAGGGTTTAGGGTTTAGCGTGTAGGGTTTAGGGTTTAGGGTTTAGGGTTTATCAACTGTGTGTGGGTCTCCTCTTTTATCTTTGGTGTTTTATTGTATTTGTTTTATTATTTTTTTGGGGTGTATAGGCAGCTCAGCACGGAAGAGCGATCAACAGTAGATGCAGCTGTAGTAGGAGTGCATAAATAAATAAATAAATTAAATAAATAAATTAAATAAATAAATTAAATAAATAAATTAAATAAATAAAATAAAT